GGGGGGGGCAATATAGAAATAGCCAAAGTGCTCATACAAATACCCCCTTTCATCAGGGCTTACCAAGGAAGAACATCTGCTGAAGAGCTCTATGCACTCTCACACAATGGATGAAATGGTATCCAGTTTCAGGCCACCACAGACCTGATACATGTTCTCCTTTAGTAAGCCTTGGTAAGGGGGTATTTGCATCAGGTACTGATCCCGATGAGAAGACCTGGCTTGCATTCGGGATTCCAACTCATCCCAAAGGTGTTCAGTAGGGTGGAGATCAGGGCTCTGTGTAGGGTACTCAAGCTCCTTCACACCAAGCTCATCAAACTGTATCTTTATGTAGCTGGCTTTGTACACAAGGGACAGTCATGTTCACTAGGGTTGAGGTCAGGGCTCTGTGCAGGACACTCACGTTCCTCCACACCAAACCCATCAAACCATGTCTTCATGGAGCTGGCTTTGTACACAGGGGACAGTCATGTTCCATAGGGATAAGGTCAGGGCTCTGTGTAGGACACTCACGTTCCTCCACACCAAACTCATCAAACCATGTCTTCATGGAGCTGGCTTTGTACACAGGGGACAGTGCTGGTGGAACAGAAAAGTTCCAAAACTGTTGCCACAAATTTGGAAGTGCCCAGTGTGTTTGTATGCTGTATCGTTAACAGAACACTTCACCGGAAACACCTGAACTCAACAGAGGGATCCCCTCATACTTTGGTCATAATGTGTAACGTTAGCTAAGTTGGATCAGAGAAACCCATTATTGGCCATAAATAAAAGGTCTCATATGTCTTGTTCCTTCTAGGGATGAAGATCAGTATATACTCCGCCATTCCAGCCCTATAACAGACCGCGACCCATGCAGTATGGTGCAGTGCATGGGGTCAAAGGATCCGAAGGAAGAAGAGGATGAGCTGGAGAAGGTCATCGCCCAACTGGAGCATGAAAACAGGTACCGCCAACCCACCAGCTGTATCTTTAGGTACATTCGACCTTTTGGGTTTCTCCCCAAGGACCTAGCATGGTAGAAGACCAAAATGACGAGGGTGCCCCTTTCTTTCTTCTCCAGCATTAGCTCCCCTAATAGTCTGGCGGGCGGCCCTGAGGTGCTGAAGTTGCACAAGTGCCTGGGAGAGCTTTCATGGTGACAGTAGCTTGTAGCACCAGCAGGGTGTGAAGGCAACATAGGGCTCTGATCTCAGGCACAAATGGTGAAGTCAGTGGGCGGCCAGGGCAGATCTTAAGAATATTAAGGAGCAACCCCAGGTCAGGAGCAGATCAAACAAATATGCATTGCCCAGTAAAGTATTTTTGAAATGTTTGCCCAAGCATGTGTCTAAACAGCTCCAACTTTCTCAGCTCGGCTTTCCTGAACTTCCTGTTGAGTACAAGATCACAAGGGACAGAGCAGTCTCCATCAGTTGTCCCTCTAGCAGCCTGGAGAAGGGAGGAGGAAGGAGGAGCAGGGGGGTGGGATATGGCTTGCCTTGCTGTGCCCGTATGTTTGTGGAAACACACACAGCTTACTAGCACACACAAGGGTGGCTCCATAGCACCCTGCAAGGGAAAGAAGCCACCCTAAAACCGGAAGTCAGGACCGGTGCTCAGGAACATCAGGCATCAGCATCCATTGTAAGTGATTTAATCAGCCCTGAAATAGCTTAAAGGAGAACTATGGGGGGAGTGATTTTCACTCACCTCATAGTTCTAGCCGACCTGTGACAATGAGACTGTCACAGGTCGGCTCAGTAGATCGGGAGGTGAGCGAACACATACCGGCGTTCGATCACCTCCCGATCCTGTCCCTGCAGAGAGCTGTGACTGTCTCTCCTCCCCTCACCCCTCTCCGATCCTCCAGCGGTGACTGGAGGAACGAACGGGGGAGGGGGGCGGGTACAGCTGGCTCTGCCTCTAGATAGGCAGAGCCAGCTGTCAGTCACGCAGCTGGGCGGATACAGACAGTAATGTCGGGATCCGTCCCGGCTGCGGCGGTCTCGGTATACCGCGAGCTGTAGCTCCCTATACACTGAGCCTAGGGTGACGGGAGGACGCTAGTTTGTGCTCTCCTGTTACCCTAAGGAGAACTATGGGGAAAAGCACTGACCCCATAGTTCTCCTTTAAAAACATTTTAGGCTTGTGCTGAATTTGGACATTTTGGGAGTACAGCTTAGCGTTGGCTTAGGGCTTCATAGGACATATAACCCTCCCATTGTTCCATCCTGGATTACCGGTAACTGAGAAGGAGATACATTTGAAGCTTTTCTTTGCAGAATTCTGCAGGGAGAGCTGAAGAGACTCAAGTGGCGGCACGCAGAGGCCGGAGAGCAGGCACTCCTGGGCGAGGTATCTCCTGACTCGGGAGGCAGCGGCAGCGGCGACGTACAGAGCGAGGAATTGCTGAGCGAGGCGCGGATTCTACGGCATCACAAAAGCCGCCTTGAGACTCGGATGCAGATACTGGAAGACCACAACAAGCAACTCGAGTCCCAGCTGCATCGTCTCAGGGAATTACTTCTACAGGTACCAGTAATATGAGGATACACGGCGCGTCCATAACAAAAGTCACCACCTGGCTTTAGCTAACCATATAGGTCAGAGCCTTCCATTGGATAAGTCTTATGATCGGGGGGGGGGCTTCGATTGGTCAGGTCTAGGTTCAGCAAACGTCATGTGCCCCAAAAAATCAGGTCAGCTGCCGACCTGAAGTTACTGAATGACCAGATTTTTCCATAATTTTTTTCTTCCATGCTTCCCTATTTATAATAATCCGGCCACTCGGTGTATATAATAATCTGGCCACTCAGTGTATATAATAATCCGGCCACTCAGTGTATATAATAATCCGGCCACTCGGTGTAGATCCCACACGTCTCTTCTGAAGTGGAACAATGCCGATCCTCCATTCGTGGATGTGGATATGCTCAATCTAAAAGCCCAAATGCAATGCCCTCAGGGTTACTGTTATCTGTGTCTACCAATTAAGAGTTGTGGTTACGTAGACGACGTTTTTGTTGTTGTTTGCAGTGTATGCTATTTGGGAAAGTATTGGAAATCCTGAAAGCACATCAGGGCAATAAATAAATAAATAATTGATTAATTCAGCCAATTAATAATTAAATAAATACATACCTACCCGTGTTACACTGGCACGTTAGGCTGCATGTGCCCAACATAAAGACACATATCTGATGCTACGGGGCCCCGAGTAACTGTATGACATCCTGTTTCCAGCCTAGCATGGATGACGGCAAAGCTTCCTCTTCAGCCCCTTCTCCAGATTCAGAGAGCAAGTCCTATCAGAACAATGGAACGCCGGAGACTGAAGCTGCAGGTAAAGATTCCCGTTGATGTGTTCACATCTGTCCATGCAAACAAGGTACATCCCTCAAATCTTCACAATACTCTAATGGTACATGTTGCCACGTGTCTGACCAGCTTAAGGAAAACCTGCCACCAAAAAATGGGAGGGGTCAAAGCAGAGAAATTGCTTGCTTGCATCATTTTCCTTTCCATAAATGACTTTTGATTCACTTGCCTTTAAATGTTCCAGAAAATTAGAAGACTGCAGGTAAGTCAGTTTCCAAGCACAGCCGCCTCCCTCCTTGCATGTCATAGCCCTCTTCTCCTATGGGAGTGCCTAATAACTATCTGTGCTGGCCCAGCCCCTCCCCTACCTACGTAACCTTTTATATAGATGCCAGTGAGGAGTGAAGGGTGAATACTATCGAGCACGCCAGCCATAAGCCATAAGACTCTGACACAGGCATTACTCCCATAGGCAGAGGCATCATGGGATATGTAGTTTTACCATGGCTGGAATGCTGAGAGTCACTTGAGTGACAGCTCTGTGTTTGCTGGGGCTGATAACATCACGTCCATGATGGGGGTGGCCAGCAGCAGTCTCAGGGCCTTCGTGGGATGCTTTTACAGGTAAAATGTTAAATGCACATGTACGGGTGTTTTTTATTATACGTTCGCAGAGGCACCTCTTCTATATTCATACTGCTATATGGCCACTAGGTGGAGCCCGTGAGTAGATGCATAGTCCTATACAACCGGCCCTTTGAGGGTAACCATACTGCTGATGCGGCCCCCGATGAATTTGAGTTTGCCACCCCTGGCATAGACATTTCCAATGCTCCTTGGCTCCATCTAGTGGCCATCAAGTGCTCTACTATACTTTTTACTTTCAATAAAAATTATTGTAACAGAATAATAATAATAGTGATTATAATTCCTTCTGAGTGCTAAAAGTATGAACTATAAATCCCCTTAGATGATGTGGACAGTCGGACAAAAGACATTGGATTATGCTTCGAGGACATCATGGAAAAGCTACGGAATGTGCTTCCCAGTACAGGTACACGAACAAGTATCTGCCAACTAGCAAATAATCGTATTACTTTAAATAGAAGGGACTTAAAGCTAAGTTCTAGGCTGACATACAATGAAGGCAGCTGTGTAGTCATTAAAGGATAAGTCCACTTTAAGACAAAGTGCACTTGTCCTGTTTGCCCCCCCCCACCCCTGACCTAGATGAGTCCAACCTCCCTCTTTGCAGACCTGTACTTACCGAGATCTGAGAGGAATGGTTCAGCTGTTGTGTAGGCCCTCTGCTGGCCACACCTGCACATTACAGCTCTATAGACATCTATGGGGCTGTCTTCCAGCCAGGAGGGATGTAGCGCCCTCTGCTGCCCACACATGCACATTACAGCTCTATAGACATCTATGGGGCCATGTTCCAGCCGGGAGAGGGATGTAGCGCCCTCTGCTGCCCACACATGCACATTACAGCTCTATAGACATCTATGGGGCCGTGTTCCAGCCGGGAGAGGGATGTAGCGCCCTCTGCTGCATCCCTCCTGCACATTACAGCTCCATAGATGTCTATGGGGCTGTCTTCCAACCAGGAGATAGAGAGACTTGCAGTGCTGGATGTCAACAAATAAGCAAGCAGTGGTCCTTGGATCTCGGTAAGTACAGATCTGCAAGGGAGGGAGGGGTGGATCATTGGATTGGGCAAAATACACATTAGGAAAGTGCAGTTATTATACAACTTCGTAGCAGCTCCGTTGTATGTGGACTACAATTCTTGCAGCTTAAAGGTTATATTGTGTGTGATAGGAGTACTTCTTTGTTGCCAAACCAGCTTCTGACAAGCCTGAAGTATTCCCATGTTGTATTGTATTTTGGGATTGTAGCCCGCATACAGGATTTCTCTCATTAGGCCCTGATGAAGGGGGTGTGTTTTGGACCCCAAAACTCTACTTGAATGCCCTCTGATCCTAATGAAATAAAATTGTATCTGGACTATTTTAATTGGTGTGGTAGAGAAGAGTGTCACCAACACACTGGTTGTTCTTCTCCACAACCTACTTTAATGGGTGTGGTGTTTCAATTCCTACATCTACTGTGTTCACTGCCAAGCCAAGGATAGTGTGGAGATCCTTTTGGATTGTATAAGCTGCCTGCCCGTTGGCCCGATCACCCGTATTCACATCACTTAAAGGAGAACTATGGGGTCAGGGCTTTTCCCCATAGTTCTCCTTAGGGTAACGGGAGGACACAAACTAGCGTCCTCCCGTCACCCTAGGCTCAGGATATAGAGAGCTACAGCTCCCAGTATACCGAGACGCCGCAGCCGGTGTCCAGCACTTTCTGTTCACTTCCATAGAACCTGTTAAAATGGTCATAGGCAAAATGTCCAGCAGCCTATTTAACATTGCTTGATTAGGGCCAATGTGTACGGCAGAGTCTTGAGTGGCAGTGCTGTGTAACGACCAGCCGTTGGCAAAGATCATTTAACGGTGAATCCTGGACAGGGAATGTGCTTGGATCCACCCGAGTTAGAGTATGAATACGCCACTTAATTACCAGATACCGCAATGGAAGCACCAACATCGGAGAGCTATAAAGCAAGCCGTCGCCTTCCTCTTTGCCGATTACTGATTGGCTGTTTTTGTCTTTTATTATTTCTAGATGACGGCGACGAATGACCGGAGCCTGACATTGCCGCCGTGACAGCGGGCATCTCCCACAACACAGCGTGCAACGTAACACGTGACGATGAAGGACGATCAGCTTTCCTGACAATTCTGACAAATTCAAGCCAAAGAAAGGGGGGAGGGGTTGCTGAAGAGTCACATGAGAAACAATAGCTCTCCATCCATTTTTGGATCTTTCGAGGGAAGTTGAACAATAGTCATTTAGAAGATCCGGAGCAGCTCGGATGATGATCACCGTATGTGAAGTCGGAACCCGGCTCAGCTTCTCAAAGGTTCCCCTTTCAAAAGGAAACGAACTGCTGTTGACACCGAAAGAGGATTGGCAAGTACAGCTGCTAGTCCTGAAAGGCCTACAGCAGTGGTGCCAAGATTCGCCACCACTGGCCTATAGCTTGCCGATAGGCGGTATACAACTCCTAAAGAGCACATAATACTAAAGATGACTAACAATGAATACTAAGTGTACTAGGAATTGTTACTCCATGGGTATAGAATTCGTCATAAATCCCCCCCTACAAAAAAAGATTAATATCTTTGTCCAAGATGCAGCCACTTTCTTCACGGCCTGTCCCTGACGCTATCTTCTAGGCTTCCGCTCTATGATAATTAATAGCATAAATGACAAGGTCAAGGTGATACCACCCCCTCCCCCCCATCTTCCCCATCTAATCTCCTCCACACAAAAAATTAAAGCATACCCTAATTCCGTGTGTCTTCCACATGGTCAAACACTGTCATGTGCCTCTTCTCCAGCATCAGGTGGTCTTCAGGGTTGAATAGAATGATGCTCATATTGTGAAGTGTGAGCACTGCTCAACGTAGCATTGCACTCTGAGCCCAGGATACCTGAAGATACTGAGATCAGGATGACAGCGTGGGCTCAAAGGATAGGGCCTGGATGTCATTCAACCTGAAAGTGGACATGTGGGGACCGACCAAGAAGGTGGGAATAGTACATTGCTGGAGTGTGGAAGGGATGAGTAGTGGATGAGTAGTAGACTTTTATTATAAAGGTGAAAAGCTGAAGCTTGGATGTAAAAGCCTAGTGATCGCTTCTTTTTCTTAAAGAAGAACTTGGCCAAGCGCTAGTTACATGTAACCTGGTAAAATGTACACAGTATGGCCAAACGTTTGTGGACACCTGACCATCATACCTAGACTCTATGGCTAAACGTCTGTGGACACCTAACCATCACACCTAGACTCTATGGCTAAACGTTTGAGGACACCTGACCATCACACCTACACACTATGGCCAAAGGTTTGTGGACACCTGACCTTTAAACCTACACTCTTGGCCAAACGTTTGTGGATACCTGACCATCAATCCTACACTCTTGGCCAAAGCTATGTGGACAGCCCTTCAAATGTTGAGTTCAGGTGTCTTCAGTGAAGGGTTCTGTTAATGCTACAATTGTGCTGTTCCAACTTTGAGGTAACAGTTTGGTGAAAGTCCTTCTCTGTACCAGTATGACTGTGCCTCCAGTGATCAATAAATATTAACTGTTGACAAAGACGAATCTCAAGTATCTTCCAACTCATGCCAATCTCTAGTTCATTTTTGGGGCAAAAAACTTTCCAGCTCCATTAAAAAATAGCTTGATGAGTTTGGAGAGGAGGAACTCAAATGGCCTTCTCAGAGCCCTGAATGCAATAGAATAGAGACTGTAAGTTAGGTCTTCTCATCCAACCTCGCAAATGCTCTTTTGGTTGAATGGGCGCACATTCCCATAGGCACACTCCAAAAAGCCTCCCAAAAGAGTGGAGAGGCCAAGTAAACTTCATAATAATGTCCATGGTTTTGGAATGGGACGTCCAACAAGCTCATATAGGTTTGATGGTCAGGTGTCCAGACTTTTGGACGTATAGAGTATGGTGGACCACTTTAAAAGCCTTCTTCATGACCTATATACAACACAGAGCAGTTGATCTTACCAGTAGATGGGTTTTTTTTCCCCCCACTTCTTGTAGCAGGCCAGCCAATGTTTTATTTAAGGGGTTGGGGAGAACCAGCTTTTTATTCATATGGCTTAAAACTTTTTTTTTTTTTTAAAGAAAATTAAATAACCTGATACGGAAAATTCTGTACAACAGTCCTGACCTTCAGCGGGCTCCCGGGGAGGGGGGGATTGGAGCAGCACCGGAGCACCATTAAGGAAAATATTTTTGCTCATTGACTTTGCTTTAGCTGTACAAGCTTAGACAACAATTGGGTTCAGACAGGTTGCTCTGCTCGTACGTAACAGGCACAGCTTTGTTTTAGAAATCTTATAAAATCTAGATTTGGGAATTTCTCTTTTTTTTTTTATTAATTACTCAATTACTCGTCATTTCACTGCTTTTTTTTT